GCGTCGAATGATATACTTTTTGTTCGGGTCAGGTCAACTTAGGGTGTTGACCTCAGGTCAAGGTCAGGTCAGCACCCCCAGGTCACGAAGTTGGTCAAAAGAGGTCATGTCGCATATCATTCGATCCGGCAGGTCTTCCTGAGTCCATTGGTGGCTTTCTCGACTCGCTAGCTCAATTTGATCGGGAGTTATTGACGAAAAACTAATATGACCTTGATGACGTCATAAATGACGTCACGGAAGGTCAACATTGCAAAAGTGACGCATCTAACCTTGCAAGGAGTGCATCAAATCACGATTCTTTGTGCTTGAGATAGTTGGAGATCGTTCCCGGCGCCAAAATAGCAGTTTGAATTTTTCCCCATTGACTTATAATGGTGAGGTCACGAAAATGACCTGACCTCATATGACCTTTAGGAAAAATCCGAGATATACAAATTGTGAGACTCATAATGAATACTAGATCCTGCAAGTTTCATTTCCCTGTGACATCTCCTCTGCAGTGAGGGCGTTGCGAAGTTGCGACATCTGAAGACCGTGCAGAGGTTCATTTATGACGTCATAGGTCAGTGACCTGACCTGACCCAAAAATGCGGTTGGTGTCAAAAGATGCGGCTTGGATCAAAGGTCAGGTATGCCAAGTTTCAGCTCTCTATCCCCAGCGTGTTCGGAGCTATCGCGAAAAAACCCTATGGGGGGGGGGGGGCGGCACCCGCCCCCCCTCGGCCGGCGAGGGTTAAGGCCTGGCTACACTATGCGTTTTCTTCGTGCGTTTTTTGCGTGTTTGCGTGTTTTGCGTGATATCGTTCTAGAAAAAAGAACGATATTACGTTTTTGTGATGTTTTTCACCTTAAGTTTTAGTTACATAAGAGTTATATTAGCTTTTGTATATAACCAAAGTAAAAATTATAGGTATTGTTTATAACTTTTTTCCTAGAACGATATTACGCAAAACACGCAAACCTGCAAAAACGCACGCAGAAAACGCATAGTGTAGCCAGGCCTTTATTGCTTACTGTCTTATTTGTCTCCATTGCAATTAAAGTTGTATGTGCCTGTTATTTGTGTGCACATTTACCCTTAGCATACTGCTTTGCTAGGAGGCATCCTGTCCCATCATGACCCGAAGGGACCAGAGAGACGGCCAGGGATACCTTCCTAAGGGTTTGCAATACAGGGTGTATTGCAAACCCTTAGGAATACAGGGTGTTTGCAATACACCGACCCCTGCCTGACGGGTCGGTGGTAAATGTAGGAGAGTACCCTGTTTCACCACATAGGTGGCTCAACTGGCTGCCCCTCCGTCTGATAACCCCGATATACGGACTAGGCGGTCTCGGCGCGAGCTCGGCGCGAGCTCTGGGAGTCGGAGAAAGCCGGCCCAGTTGGCGGCCGCTGCTGGAGTCGCTGGTCCGGAACGGCACGGACTACGGACACGGCGCCCCGGCCGCGCCAGGACCTATCGGGGCTGACGTTCTTGTGTAAATGTGTTGCGGACCAGGCCAAGACCTACAGTGAGCTGATTTACACGTGCTCACTGTGTATAAGGTATTACGAGCCGGGAAAGGACCTGCCGGGGCCGGTGTATTTGTAATTGTTCTGCGTTTCGCTGGACAGCCGAGGCCCGGCTGGAAGTTGGTGTAGTTTCGGCATGAGTTGATACCGGCCTATGTTTTAGTGCCGGACGCCGGTATGGGCTGGTGTTGGCGGTAATAGTTTGGGCTGGCTCCGGTTGTAATTGTTGCCGTGACATATTCTGATGGCTGTATAATACCTCCTATACGGTCTGGTGTGGTTGGCTGTAAACAATCTTAGTGGCTCGAGTTAATCGCCAGATCGAAGTGTTAAGCCTCGCCTAATTTACCGACGCAGTAATTGCTAGGTTTATAATTTATATGCACTCGTTCTCTGAACTCCGTTGAGTTCAGAGATGACCACAAGATCCTAGCAATAACAGCATTACTGAGGACGACTTATCTGAAAATCACAATGTTTATGCACAGAATGGGTGACATATGACGCCCCCTATGATTTTATTGAATAGAGAAGCATAGTGCAGGGCCTCGGCTAACATGTTAACTACTGGGGCAAATGCCCCAGTAGAGTCAAGGAATGCCCCAGTAGTGGTCAGGTTTTGCCCAACCTCCACAAAATGAGAATACATCAATATTAACGTACATTCTTTCATTCGGGAGCGGTTGAAGACGTTTGTGGCAAGAAATCAGGGGCGGCGGAAGAGGGAGTTACGGTGTGCAGCTGCACCCTCAATTTCCATTAAAAAAATATAGGCTGCATTGGCAAACATGTCTTTTCGCACCCCATAATCCATCTTCGTTTGAAAGAGCGTCAAAATTAAAAATAATGACGAAATTACTTCGGCCACTTCGGCAAATTCTTTGGTCAGGTCAAAGGTCAGGTCATGGTGAAGACCAAATTTCGCCGATTTTCAGGTCGAATATCGACAGTTTACAAGATGCCGACGCATAACTCGGGAACCAATTAGAGCTACAGCACCGCGGAAAAGCGCATTTGATAGCCATATTAGCATGCTTTCTGGTTATTTCTCTTAGATTTGACCTAACGTCAACGGTTTTGCCTGCAAGGGGCAAAAACTACCAAAATAGACGATTTTTCGGGAACAATTTTTCTGCAATAACTTTTGACTCATGCCTTGCACGAGCTTTCTTTTACCGACATCGTGTTCCTCTCGTCAAGACATCAAATTAACCTTCCAGGCGGTGGGGGGGGGCTTTTTTTTGCCCCCCCCCCTTTAGTTTTTTCGATATATCTCGAGAACCGCTGCGCCGATCGTCACCAAACTTTCAGTACCCTCCCGGGAGCAGCTAGCGCACATGATGACCAAAAATTTTCCAAAGGCTGTGATAGGTTGGCCGCTAATGACGTCAGAGTGACGTCATTTTTGCCATTTTCGACCAAAAAAAGGTTTCGCGGGAAGAGCTGTCAGGCCTACAGCTTTAGAGATACAGAAAAATGTTTCAAACATAAGAGGTGTGGGATTAAAAGGGCTACAAAACTGATATTTCGGTTTTTCGAATTTTTTGGATTTTGACCCCCAAAAATAAAAAAGATTTTTTGAATATCATAGCCAAAAAATCGAAAAGGTTTTTTGAATTTCGAAAAAACGGAATATATGTGATAGCACCTACCACCTTCTATCTACATACCAAATTTGAGATCGATACCTCTTTTTTTGGCCAAGTTATAGCGAAAAAAAAACTGTTCAAAATTGATGACGTCAAATTTTCAAACTCAATTTTTAGCAATTCTAGACCTCGTAGCGCAAAACAAAGACCACCATTAGACTCCCCGTGACGAGCTGCATCGAATCGATACCCTTTTTATGCAAAAATATCAACTTTGAAATTTGACCTTTTTTGACCTGACCTTGACCTGACCTCCACCAGAAAGTGACCTAAACCGTACCTGATGGTCTTATAACCAACACCATTGAGTTGGAAATGAAAAACTGGCCATAAAACATGCATCGCATAACCTTAGTAAAGTTGGGCTCATGTGGTGACCCTTGGTGACCTTTGGTGACCTGACCTGTGACCTGACCTGGTATGACCAGTGACCTCTAATAGCAACATATGTACTAGACTACTGACGCCTTATCGCTGATTTTCGACAAAATGCGTTTTACTCGGTGTTATAGCGCTTTCCCTAGAAGCCCCGTGAACGGTGAAACATTTTATCTTTGACCTGACCTGTGACGTCATCGGTGACCCCGAGGTGAATGAAATTTGGTTTCCTTCGACAAATTTGACAGGGCTATCGAACGCCGTTTGAATTTTCCGGATCCGTCCAGTAGTTTCGGAGATACGGGGGGGGGGGCAAAAAAGTGCCCCCCCCCCCCCACCGCGCGGAAGGTGGCTGGTAGGCCCACCGCCTGCCGGGTTAACTACAATTTGACCTTGAACGTCAACTTGAAAATTCGACCTCAGGTCAGGGTCATGATCTGACCGGAAATTGTCATGTTGCATATCGGTCGATCTGAATCGTCGAGCCAAACACAACTAAGGCATTTTCATCGCTCTAGCATGCCTCTTTCAAAGTTATTCGCGAAAAACTGTTAGATACCATTCGTGAACTGAGATGACCTCAGGGGCATAAACAAGGGTCACGGGTGCTATTTTCATGTTCAGTGTGTCGAAGTCACGTACAGTGTTTCATAGTGTTTAGAACAACTTTCCTCCAAAAGAGGTGGTTTTGAATTTTCTCCCATTGACTTATAATAGAGGTCGCAAAATTGAGCTGACCTTAGGTCACCGATGTGAAAATTCCGAGATACCTATAAATTTTGTACATGCTGTTGCTCTTATCAACCGCTGAAAGTTTCAAAGCGATCGGTCACTTCGTCGGTGTAGCTACGGCATACCTACATTGAAACATTTTATGAGATGAGGTCACTTGAAGTGACCTGGTGACCTGATCTTGAATGATCTTGGTCTGAAATTTTTACAACACGTGTAGAATTGATGGATGATGGAGCGCCGCCGTTTTTCAAAAACGGTTTTTGAGATATCCGCGAAAAACCTCAGGAAAAACCGCAGGTGTTCAAACCCCCCCCCCCCCCCCCCACCCCCCAGCAGGGCGCCAACACACTTTGACGATTTGCCCCAGTAGTCAAAATTCCTTAGCCGAGGCCCTGGCATAGTGAGAGACATGTAGGTAACTGTCATATTCCGTAAGCAGACGCTGCTTTCAGAGGCTCAAGAACTAACGTATGGCTTAGGCGGCGGACCGGGGAGGGTACCGGGCACCGTGCCCCCCCACCTTTGGTTTTGGCATTTTAACATTAGCCCTATGGGCGTTGCATGGAAAGAATGGGACCAAAATTCGGCAGTGCCCCCCCCCCCCCCCCCACCTTAATTGAAGGTGTTCCGCCGCTACTGACGGATGGCGCTTTAGTAAGCCCCCTTTCTGATGAGACTACACTGCAACGTATCCTCTAATGACGAGTCCTTGTTCGACTTACCTGGCCATTTCGGCGCTGCTGCGTGGTCCGGTCTGAACGCGGTCCCCAGCGAGCGCAGCTGAGACGCCTCACTACGCGGCGCTCCGTGTGTAGGGCCGCTCCGCGCAGCGCTGTCCCCTAATGTGACCCACCAGTCACTGCCGATCACGGACGGTCGCTCTGATCACTGTGCGGCACGTGCAGCCACCGCCCACTGCTGGCCGCGACTGGCGCCGCGTGCAACCGTCCAACGCGTCCGTCGGCCGGCGCCGAGTCGATCTCTCCAGGTGAGGCGCCGTCTCAGGCTCGCCGGGTGACCTCCTTCAGACCATAGCGCCGATACGGAGGGATAGATTCATACAGAGTCGTATAATGTTAGATTGGTTTGTCTGTGTGGAACCTCCAATGGCTCGGTTTTGGCATGCATTGCGAAGGTATAACGAAGGTGCGAAGGTTATATTGATTAGGAGTCATTCGATGATAAAGACCCTCGCACTTGTAGGGGGGTCGGAAACCAAAGGTCGGTCCCTTTGGTTTTTCGCGAATAATTCGTGCAAAAAGCGACCGATTACGGCGAAACTTTCAGTACCCTCGAGTTGATCTTTTTTTTTACACCAAACCCTAAAAATTCATTACCCTGACCCAACTGACCTTTGACCTGGGACCTATTTCTCGATACCATGTTCGGCCGGATTCTGCGTATTTCAGCTCACATTAGCCGTTTTCATGACGGGCTATCGGGCGAGTGCACCTAATTTGACCAAATATGCACCTAATATATTTTACTGCAAATATCTTTATTTTATGAATTTATTTCAGTGTTGTAATCGATGATACTCTCTGAAAATATGACAAGGCAAGCATATAAGCAATTAGTGCAACCCTAGCTGATAGCTACGAAGAGATACAAGCCATTTTCACGACGGGCTATCCGGCGAATGCACTTGATTTGACCAAATCTGCACCTAATTTCTTTTACAGCAAATATCTTCATAATGGCCGTTTTCACGACGGAACTTTCGCAGAGGAACTTATTTAATACCTAAAAAGTACCTACCCTTTGAGGCCTTAACATCCCTCAAACTGAAATATTTTATGTTCAAAATAATTTTAGAAGTTTAAATCCGGGCATTTTTTGCCCTCAAATCACTTATTTATTTACAAACACAGCAATTTTTGGTTCTAGTAGCCCACCTTTCGACTATAACCCGGTTTACATAGCATATTTGACGAGGCTCTAGCTCGTTAATTGGCGATGATTTCGTTGCAGTGGTCTTCAAATATTTAGAGGGGATCATTTTGTAAATTTTTAAGCACCATTGGCATCTTTTGCAACATCACGGACGGAGATATAAGCTTGCAACAAACCCTATGTAAACGCGTCTTATGAGGTATCAAATCAGCGTGGCAACTTTACTCCCTCGGGTATCTAATTCCGGAATTCTTAAAAACAAGGAAAGTATATATCGAGCTTTCTTTTATGCCTATTGAGTTATGTTTTAATGGTGATTAAAATATGGCAAATTTTTTAATTACATTTCACATAAGAAAAACACGCAAAACAATGAAACAAAAATAACTACGGTGGAAATAACCAATCAGCACCTCAGTAGGATATGACGTCATACAAGAATGGTGTTGAAGGCCGTTTGCAGTCCCGGCCGGTAGGTCACGTGACCGCCGGGAGCCTCGGGTCACGCGGCGGTCGGGAGTCGGACGCGGGACGTGGTCGCGGGTGGACGCGCGGGGCATCATGCTTTGCTTTGCTTGCTTTGTCAACTTAATATAACTTACGATCGCCTACGTGTGAAACCCAAACACTGCTCAGTGCCCTTAGAAATTGAGTTTTGGAAAGCTCAAGTCCCTATAGCTCCTCAGGTCGGCAACAGTTGAAGCCTCATCTGGACTAGTGAAAAAAGCGAGGGTAAGGAACCTTGTGTTGCTTTTTCTTTTACCGTTATAATTATCTCAAACCATCACAATTTTGAGTTGCCACATTGTCTGGTTCACTTCATTCGTGTAAAACTTGGTGAAGGCTGGTGGCTCAAAGAAAGGTGAAGATATTTCTTTATGTGCCTAATCCGTGAAATATCCCGGCTTTACAAATCTACACTTTTCATTTTTTCCACGATACATTTTTTAAAATTGTTAAAATTTATTCAACATTTGTTAAAAGGGGCTTTGGTTTGGTGTAAACTAGATCATAAAGTTTACTATAGTTTTGTGCAAAACCTGGTGGCTGAAGAAAATAGTAATTTTGCTAAAATGATGTGCGGAAATTTGTTGCTTTCCAATTTCCAAATCAAATTACTCATACCTATATTTCATTCAAAATTAGGAGGCATTATTACTGTTTTTTCTTGCAACATGAACTGAGTTTGGGTGCAGTGCTCCGGAAACGTTGTGGAACTTTAAGCTAGCTAGAGCAGTTTCCATAAAAATTGTTTAGATAGTTGACATGGCATGTTGACAACGGTTTTGCTGTTTCTAAAAAAGTGAAAAATATTTTCCTGCATTAAACAGACAAGGCATGTTATTCTCATAAGCTATCGAATGTGTGTGCGTGTGTGTTTTTTTTTAAGCTGTCAATTGTAACTTCAGTTACTTCACTTTAGAACATATTGCCCAGAATGCGTCACTGATCATGAGCTGGTATATCATATCATATGTAGCAAATACATAAATGGGAATAGTGTGTCATGAATTTTTGTGCATGCTTCTGGATCATCTGTAATTACATCAAAGGCTCGGCTCAAGAGTGTCCTGCCGACCAGCTTATGCCCAACCCTTTCTGTCCGCAGAACGTCTTCCGTCGCCTGCGACTCCCGCACGCCGTTTGCGCCCCGGCCGTCCGTACCGGTCTTCGCGCTGCGAGCCGCGCTGCTGGAGTTCGCGGCGGCGTCGTGGAGCTCCCATCGGGACAACGTGTGATGCCCGCGTCGAGCTTATAAGCCGTGAGCTTCGATTGGCGGCTCACGCGGTCACCAGCTGTATGTACAGCCTCGGCCCCGACGACCCCGCTAATGGCCGAGACCGGCATACCCCCTGCATGGGTCCGCTGTCCGGCGCAGCGCTGGCCGCCCGCATGTTACGTTTGGCTGTATCGCTGCCCAGCGGGAGCGCGCTCCACGCTGCGGTAGAGGCACACGTTGCGACCCGACTGAGGACCGCAACCGGATGGTGAGACGTCGGCCTCTGCGCCCTGGCCGGGGTAGGCGTGACCGACGTCACAGTGGAGGAACACCCAAACAAGACCAGCCCACCGTCGGAGCAGCATGGAAATATCATGTTCTGCCTGGACGTCGGACCCGGCGGCCGCAGAGCACCTGCACACGTGCGGAGAGGGGCGCTGGAGGCGCGGCTTCTGACATCCCGCGGCGCGGCTGCTGGCAATACCTGACAACGGCGGCAATGGAGGCGGTTGGGAACAGCTGCAGCAATGGTGATGGCGGTGATGGCGACATGGCGGTTTGGGACTTCATCTCAGCGCGGCCGCCGCCCAGGCGCCGCTGCGCCCGGCTGCTCAGCCACCTACCGGATGGCGGGGTGGCCCTTACGGCCCTCACGCCCGTTCGGTCTGCGGCCACGTTCTGGGGTGGCCGTCGCGGGGTTAGCGGCGTTGGACTTCGTCCTTTATCCAGACTGCACCGTACCATCTGAACGGATGGATCTGCCAAGAAAGATGACATCCAAGGCGGCTATGAGGCGATCACAAAGCTTCAGCAAGAGCTTCTCCTTCATGGGGCCGGCCGGCCGTTAAGTCGCAACACCGGCTGCCGAGTGCCAACAGCTGCGTGCGCTGGCGCCGACGCGTTGTGGGCCGCGCTGCTGACGCTCAAGCTGCGATATCAACCATCTATGAATAAGTGGCAGCGGTGGCGGCTTGTCAGTTGTTAACGTGCCTTTGCAGACGTTGTGAATAGCCCGCGTTGGAATCGCATGGTTGGCAACACCACGCAAGCTAAAATGGGCTTCCTTGATGAACCTACTTTTTAAGCATTGTAGCCTTTGTAATTTTTGATGTTTTGCTGTAGGTATTATTTTCTACATATATACTATATAGGCACTCACGTGCTTTGAATCGCGCAATGCAATTGAACCATGGTAAAGACAATGATAAATGAACTGAGAGCTGACATGCCCCATGCTTTGTGTGAGTGTGTGTGTGTGTTTTTTTTTTTGGCGAGTCGATAAAAGTGGTTTTGGACACTGGATGAGTTTTTAGGGGTGTGGTGAGGGGGAATGTAATTCCACAGACCTTTTGTCAGATTCACCAATGCAGTAGGTCTGTGCGGTATTTAGATATCGGAGCATTCTTTGAAAGTCGTGAATAGGGCAACTGAGAAGCTACCTATAGCCGTGATATCCCCTCACACAGGGGCGTCGCCGACGGGGGGGTCGGGGGGGGTCGTGACCCCCCCACTCTTGAAAACTGGGGGTGTCGACCCCCCCACTTTTTGCGATGCTGAGTATGCTTTTTTAGCTTTTATGTCAGTGAAGCAGGCGTCAGCAACACCAACAAATACATCAGATTCAAAATCGCTTCAAGAGCTCCCTAAAGCCAATTAGCCAATTACCTAAAGGTCAATTAGCTGTGGGCGGGGAACACCAGCACAACAATGTTTTTAAGTAGCCCCCATCCTAGTACCTTCTTATCCCTCAAAGGATTGGACGCGCCAAAACTGCCCCGAGCGTTCGTCTGATCGTTTAAAAAAAAAAATGGTCGCAGTCGATTCGTCGGATCAGTACCTAACTACAAAACTACAAACTGGCCTCAGCCCCATGGCTACCGTCACAACTAGCTGTACAGTGCATATGTAGGGGAAAGGGAGTCAGATGGAACCGTCTCGGGCTTTCGCAAAGAAGTCGCGCAAAAAGGAGCCAATTGCAACAAAACTTCCGGTGCGCTCGAGTTAATCACCTACTTAAAATAAATCGATATCCCTGATTCAAATAAAGATGAAATTAGTTCACTTTTTCATAACGTGCTTTTAATTGATAGGGTAGTTTTTGGAGCTGATTTTGAACTTAGCGCCCATCTGAACATTTAAGAAGTAGTTGTGTTGCTTATTCATATAACATGCTAGGAAGCAATCGGTGGTGGTCATCCACTATTAGGTACTGGTCGATCTGACCTGACCTGATCTACCCCAAATGCATGGAGTCATCATCTTCGCTCAAAACTAAGATAACATTCATAATCAGAAC